TGGGGATCCGTGGTCATGGGGACAAATATCCCCTATGCCAGGGCAAGATTCCCCTTGCTGGAAAATTAAATTGGGCGATCCAGGGACTAAACCAGTTTGGCACATGCAGCTAGTATGTTGAGCTGCAATGGCCTGGAGTAAAACTGAGCTGCCACGAAGGAGATCACCATCAGGCACAAAAGCGTCCTGCACAAGTGATTGGTAGGATGACTCCTAGACTGCAGGAACCCGAGAGAGAAGAGAGATAAGAATGTCCAAGACTAATCCTAGGTAGTCCAAGTGATGACAAGGCACCAACAAATACTGATAGTTCAGGTCAGCCAAAGTTCTGCGTGATTTTATAGTCCACTGAAAGTTGGACAGAGTTTGTACAGACTACTCCCTAAGGAAGAGGTTGTCCAAGTAACCCACTATGGGGATCCCCTAGGACTAAAGCATGGCCAAGACTGGGGCAGCACCTTGGTGCCATGGACAGACCTAAAGAAAGAACAACAAACTGGAAATGCTGGGTGCCCACAGCAATGTGCAGGTAGAGAAAGTGGGCAAGAACAATGGGAATGTTTATATATGCGCCCTTAATGTCCACCTAGGGCAGGAAAGTGCCCAGGCGAAAGCAGGCAATGACACCAGATGGATACCATATGTAACTTTTGGGCCCACGAGAACTTGTTGAGGATCTTGAGTCCTAGGATAAGGTGAACCCCCCCATGGCCTTGGTGACAGTGACCAGCTTGGAATAGAACCCCTGGAACATTTTTGGCTGTGAAATCGGAACTTTGACCCCGAGTGTGTAGATGACTTAGAGCAGGAGTTGGGAACCTTCGTCCATCCAGCTGTGGGTGAAACTACAAATCCCATGATGCATCTGTCTCTGGGAGTCATGCCTGTGAGAATCTTGCAATGCCTCATGGGATTTGGAGTTTCACCACAGCTGGAGTTTTCCAACCCCTGACCTAGATCAACAAACACCTAGAGCAATATCCCCCATGAGGATATATAGACAGACTCGCTAGCAGAAAACAAAGAGGAAGTAGGAGTTAAACTCTAATTCGCAGTGTTCAGCTTTGACTCTGAACCCAGGAACTGGAAATGTCCCTTTGCCCAGAGTGCCGAGAATCCTGAAAGATGCCCACACACACACACTTGTAATAATGGGGGCAGCCCTTCAATGTAAAAAGGGCCTGCTCCCAACCTTAGCATGCATGGAAAACCAGGCCTTGCAACAACTGCATTCCCTGCAAGGGCTTGGAAGCGGAGGTCTGTGAAGTCGGGAGCAGTAAACTTAGCAACGAGAGTCTAGGACTTCTTGTGAAGCAAGCAGGTACTCTTCATCAGTGAGTTCATTGATGCAAGTATCAACAGTAATTACCAAACCAGAAACCGTTCCTTCCTCTCCCTTAGGTAAACAAAATCAGCCATTTCCCCCTATACAATTCACGTGTCCAGACACTGTAGGCAGCAAGGTGACCAAGGCTTGAGAACATAATATAATTCAATTATAATATAATTCTGATGAGGAGGACTTCTTTGTTTCATCACACTAAAGATACGTTGCTATTTTGCCAATACTGCTAGTTACATATGGCCAGCACCTATCTTTCTAAGGACTGCTCCCTGTCTCGTTAAATGGTTCCTTGTACACTTTTTTTTTAAATTCCTTTACGTTAAGAGTCAGCAAGACAAGTAGCATGGTCATCAGTGGTAGCCCATACATTTCCCTCATGAAAGGTCCCTGGAGAATTTTTGCCCAACTGACAAATTAAAACTGGAAACCTGCAGCCTATTATTTCAAAAGTAAAAAATATCGGAAGACAAACCCAAGCAGAATACAAAACAGATTACAGCTTCAAGATACAATCCAAAACTACTTGTAAATAACACTGTGCACACATAATATTTTTTAGGTACAATTGAAAGGAGTATAAAAGGTTACCTGCAAAACATACACATTTCTCTTTGAGCCGCAAATTAAACGACTTTTTTGGGATACCCATTACTGTAGTGTTCCATAACTTAAAAAAGTACTACCATGAACATATAATGAGAACACAGGGTATTGTGCTCATTGTATATAAATATTACATACATGACATACATGCACAAAATACAGAAGAAAAAAAAAGTAATGCATCTAAAAGATAATATAATTTGGAACATGACATTATTTGAGTAAACCTACATGTTCATGAGCCTAGTAAGATTGGCTTTGAGGAAATAAAAAAAAATATAATTCCTTTAAAACAGAAAATTGATTGTACCAACTCAAATTCCTTCCTCAACAGATCAAAAGTAGCACTGTACCAAAATAAGGCTCGTCTAAGACAACGTTCTAATTGTGGGAATAGAGAAGTAAACCGTTGTCATTTCAAAGTCAAATCTAATCACAGATATTTGCAGAAAACACGTGTCCAGAACTGCAGGGCAAACTCATAACTAATGGAACTTCTTTGCTTAATTAAGGACAGCCAGATGTTCAGCAATTGTGTACCGGATTCATGAATTTCCTTGGGAAAAAATTAAGGATATCAACACGAATAAAGAGGAACGCCAGTTATTAAAAAACAAAACAAAAACCCAATCTTTGCAGTGGGGCAAAGACCCCACCCCATGACCCCATGAGTGGGGCCCACTCATTTTGCTCTACGGACCGGAATACAGAAGATATGCTCACCTTATTTTCTGTCCTGCGGCAGTGAGTGCTCACTTCTCTCTCCCTCCACTCTGGTTGCGGTATGTCGCTAGGCATCCTCACGCCTAATGCAGACAAATGGATCGACGTGATGTCAGAGGTCATTAAACTGCTAGAGCCCAGGGGAGAAGAGGCCGCGGGGACCGAGGACCAGGTAAGTATATTGTTTTTTTATTTAAGCCCCTAGACCAAATCAAGCACTTAACCCATGCAGTGCAGAGGTAGCCTAACTGCAAGGGTTTAATATTTTAGATTCCTGAACTGTTCTTTAAGTCATACGGTTTTTCATGTGTACTTTAGTAATGTGCTATATTGACCTTTTCCAATTTAGGTGCATTTTAACAATGCATTTTTGCAATACTGATATAAAACATAAAGCTACTGACAGCACCGTGTCAAAAGCGCAAAGAAATACTTTGGAATTACTTGAAATGCATTTGGAGCATAATACCTTTCCTTGACACAAAAGAAAACCCCCCAAAAATAATAAAAAAACGTTTTTCCCACAGGCAAATTGTAACAACTAAGGGTATGTATAAAATAAATACATGTAAACATAAGATCTAGTGCTATGAAGAACATATACATAACGCTGTATAAAAACGTAGTGTGCCGTAGTTATAAAAAAAATATAAACTGTACCAACAAAAGGAAAAACAATTCCTATACAAAAAAAGGAATATCTTCTAAAAATACAGTAACATCAATAGTACCTGTATATCGCACCTCGGGCTTTACTTAAAAGGATAGTCCATCCAAGACTGATTAGTCTGTTTTGGGTACAAACTTGTGGATTAATTCATCTACTGGCTTTCTGAGCAACTCTACAGCAAGATGTCCACATTTAGATTTCAAGAATAGAGCACTTGCCTCAGCTATTAGAAGGGTACTTCACTCTTCCTGCTGTAGTATGTCTGAAGGTCCTCATTCATCCAGGTCATGGTACATCTGTAAAATAGATTTAAGCAACTGGACTTACTGTATTTTTCTTGGAAGTTTCGTTGTTCATCCGACTACCGTTCTCAATTCAGAATTCAGAGAAAGCAAAATGTCTACAAGAAAGATACAGCAAATCCAGTTGCTTTGATTTATTTTCTACAGATATACTTCCTGCTGTAGGTTCCATTTATTGTACATTAGAGAATGCAGTAGGAGGAGTGGCATAGACCCAGCTACAGCAGAAGCAGTAAGACTACAAGAAAGAGGAATGTGGAGATGCAAATTTTGGAGGATATCTTGAGACAGGCAATGACCCAACAGAGTCCACCTATGAAAAAAATATCGGCATTTGATGGACTAACCCTCTAATAACAACATGTACAAAACAGTCTGCATGGACCCATGGCAGTACGTAAACAGTATTCATCCTATTTTATTCTATCTGCCCATTAGTAAGGCAAATCAAGTAAGCAAATCAGGTGGGGTTACTCATAAAGGCAGTGTGAAAAGATATGGTGTAGCAGTAATGTACAGCAATAAACCCGCAGTGTACTCTTATGAAAGAAAAAAAGGATTTGTAGTTTTACTGTAATTTGGTGAATACGCAGCGTTTCTCCAAACCAGCTTTTGGTTGTGGCAGATCATTAGCAAACAGAAACCATTAGAAGAAGCCCACTACTTATTCACCCAGTGATCCTGAAACAGGATCCGGCAGATGTGACCTGTTCCCAGTCACAAACAGATGGAGATGACAAACACTGCTCTGGAGCACTTTGTGCGAAAGGATGAACGAAACATTAAAATGGCAGTAACATTCTTAGCAGCGGTTAAAAAAAGGCAGTGAAAACGGTCACCTGTAATGGTATTAAGGCTAGTTATTGTTCCCTTTGCATGACATAATGCTATGAAGTTAGTTGGATCACATCACTTAAGGAAGAACTTGTCACTTTTTTTGCTTTCAATACAGAGGGTTATAACTTAGTTATTACTCTGTCTGCATTAAGCAGATTTTCTGTCACTTCCTTTGGTGTCAATACGACAAGAAGCGAGAGTAAATTTCTTCAACAGGGACACAGCAACAACAACAAAAAAGGTTTAGTAGCATGGAGAAAGAGTTTTCCCCACTTCCTGTTCCAGTGACGGGTAACACCTGAACAGAAAGGAAATGGAAATATTCCTTATAGGGTCACAGGTTGAATTCCATTTCAGTGAGTATTTACAACCCCTTTTAATCCCACAATTAGAAATGATGGCATTGGTGCACAAACTATGATGCATTGGTCAAACTGTTAAGCCCAAGCACTGGTCAATCAAGATTCACAGATGAATGTGAATTAGCTCATCTCTATTAACAGGTATCCAACACTCAAAGTCAAATGGGTCCTTCATCAATACTCTGCAGGACAATTCTCTGCTTTTGGATTAAATGACCCCTGCCACCTCGGCTTGTACCGGAATTCCCTGCAACGGATGGCGCAGGGGCTGTGCTCGATGATTCTTCTCCAAACAAGCACATTTTTGCATCCATCTCTATTGCCTTGGCCAAGTTGAAGGCATAGGATTCCAAAGATAAGCTGGAAGGGTTTTCCTCTGCTGATGATTTGTTGACATCTGTAGGAAAGAAGAACATTTAACTCGTATTAGAATGAAAAAAAAATGTTTTTCTACATATGTAGATTTTCAGAACAGCGAAATGCAGAATATACACAGGACATCAACATGCAAAAGTTAGTTAAATAATGGAAATAGTAATGTACTACTGCATCCCACATGTCTCCAGGAATCAGGTTTGTTAAGAAAGTGCATACATAACTAATATTCATCTAGGTTAACCAGATTTACTGGACACTGGTCCACCAGAAATGGTTGACAAGCCACCCCTTCCCTGTGGACACCATCAGGTGAAATCTACATCACCAACATGAGTCACTGGGCCGAGTCTGACTATATGGTCTTTTATTTCATTATTGTGGTAAGGATTTTACTTTTTATTAATGAGGATACTGCTTCTCGGTTGTAGGAAAGGCAATCATTTTAATTTTGTTAAAATGGGCAGTCATGGATACCCCATGACAATTGAAAAAGGGGAAGAACACATTACCACAGTGTAAGATGCATAACCAAACCTATACTATATCATGTGTTTGGATTGACAAGAACAAAGAGATATGCAGATATCTCTAATCTATTTATAAAATATTATGGGAACATACAGTTGGTATAGCATATCTGAGCTTAAAGCTGCCGTGTTAATACATTAGACTTTTTAGTCATCTATCTCTAACCCTTTTACTGCCAGAGCCGTTTTGCATTTTTGCACACACGATAAAATGCATATTTTAGGTCTGAAGGCCACTTAAAACATGTAAAATACAATGGTGGCAATTTAATTTTTTTTTATTATGACATACAATATTACCCAACTATTTATAAAACCCAAAATATCAGTAAAACAATGCCTTCAAATTAATTTTAGTGCACATAAGCACAATATAAATACCCATTTTATGGTAAAATATAAAAGCTGAAGTTGTGTTGAGTAAATAGATACTACAAATGTCAGGCCTAAAAACTGTGTGCACCTGTGAAGCTACGAAAAAGCAACAGCACCCACAATTACCTATACGCAATGCTTTAAAAGCCTCTACAGGTCATCAATTCAGAGTTCAGTGAACGATGGCCCTAGAAGCATTGTTGTCACTGCCTGCGCAGCGATGTGTAACGTGTGTGATGCAAATGTCAGGTTAAGAGTAAGCCCTCGTTCACACCTGAACGTTTTGTAGCGCGTTCTACGCTCGACAAAACGCTCAAAAATATAAATCCCATTGTATTCAATGGTCTCGTTCCCACCTTGGCGTATTTCCGCCCGTCCCTAACGCGCTACAAAACGGCCCACACCTGAAAAGGTACAGGTACTACTTTGGGACGTTTTTTTCGCGCGTTTCCATTGGGATACAGCCAAGTAGCCTTCGGAAACGCGCGACTTTACCGCGAATCGCGGTAAAAAACGCGCGACAGACGCGCATATGCAATACGCCTAGGTGTGACCGAGACCTTAAAGTATATGTAAACCCAATCACTAAAATCACATACTGTGATGTGCTTTAACATGCTAATGTAATTTCAAGTAATTGTCAAATATTTTTAAATCCAGTTTCACTAAAATAACAACTGGAAATGCTACAAAGAAGGTCCATGTTTATAGACTTCCTGTTATAAGCTTACAACGCTCTGTCCCTTTCTCCCAATTGGGCATCTTTGTTGTCACCCTACCCTATTCCCTAGGTATTTCGGTAGAGATAACAAATGGCCATTTCAACACATATTGCGCAGATACGGTCCTCTGTTTTAATATGCACAAGGCTTTAGCAAACTAAAAAAGGGGGAAACTTAACTTTAGGTAAAGGTAAGGTTATGAGGGGGATCAGGGTGTCAATTTTCAGGGTTTCGCTAGAGGTCAAGTTTAAGTCTTAGGGGGACAGTTCAATGCTAGTTCAGGGGTGTGGACATTTTAAAAAAAACAAAAACAAAAAAAACTGCTTGTCCAAGGACTAAAGCGGGGGCCCAGTCTACTTGTCCCTTATGACAATCTAGTCATACAAAAATACTTTTAACCAAAAACAAATTTAACTGTGAAGAAGCACTTCTCACTGGTCAGCGCGGTCAGGTGCCACGCTGACCAACAAGTGCTCGCAATTTGTGACCGAAATTCAAAATCCATAGCGTAGGGCTGCGCTGGACAGCAGCATGGGGTACAGATAGTACACCCATACCAGTGGAGGGGAGGGACTGCTCACTAAAAGGTAAGTATATTGGGGGGGGTCAGATTTGAACAGGTAATTCTATTTTCCCAAAATTACTTGGGAAAGTACACTTACCCTCTGCTGCACAGATGCCTTGTACAAACCAATGCCCCTGCTCTACATTTAGCCCTGCTTGCCCGCAGCAGGGCTAAATGTAGAAACAAAACACCTGCCCGGCGCCCAGAAATGCAGGTCGTTGGGCGATTGGAATTCCACAACCCTGTAGTCGCATAGTATTTCAGGTTGAATAAAGACAAAGGTCTATAGAGTTCAACCTTTGTGCTATTGCGAATGCTATTTGTTTAGGGTAAGTGTTATAGTGCAGGTCATTAAAGGGTTAAAGTGTATGTAAAGGTAAAACTATTGTGAGGAACGGTTAGACCCTTACTAGTTAGAGTATTTACCAGGAAGGTTTACCCCATTGTGTGCCCTGGTTGCCACCGTCACTACGGTAAGACAAAGAGAGGGGGAAATCCCTAATTGTCGGGTTATCAAAAAAGAGTAAGGAGGGTAAACCCTCCAATGAGGACAATTGCTTTGGGCAGGGATGTCAATTGCTTTGGGCAGGGCAGGGATGTCCAAACTGCGGCCCTCCAGCTGTGGTGGAACTACGAATCCCATGAGGCTTTGCAAGATGCTCACAGCCACGACTCCCGCAAAGAGATGCTTCATGGGATTTGTAGTTTCACCACAGCTGGAGGGCCGGAGTTTGTACATCCCTGCCTTAGGGAGATTTCTTCTCATTTTTTGTTGCATCTCCAGGACAGGAAGTGAAACCTCCCCAGCAGGGACACAGACCTCAAAAAAACAAAATGAAAGCGTGCCATTGGCAAGTGTAATTTGAAATGCATAAGGCAGGGCTGCACTGCTGTGTATGGGTCGTACTGTGGAAGCCGGGGGGAGGAGCGTTTGTTGACAGGTAGAGCACAAGCATGGGGGGGCAGGCTGGAGATTGGGCAATGAATGATGGGAGTAAATCCTTTTCTTTCCCAAATTCCCCTGGGAAAATAGAATTACCCTTTAATTCACATGTGTCAAACTCAAGGCCCAGGGGTCGAATCCAGCCCACCAGGCCATTTCCTAGACTTCTACTTTCATATCTAGGTATTAAGTTTTTACTAAAACCAGTGATAATCCAATGCAGAGGCAATTATGATAAAGATTAGATACATTTATATAGTCTTACAGGTAACTTTGGGGGCAACCATAATGATAATGTGGCCCGCGACTAAATCGAGTTTGACACCCCCACTTTAATTGTTATGGTCATGTGAAGCATTAGATAAAGGTTCATGTTAGGGGAATGGCCTAAAGAGCTCTAAAATATTACATGTAAAAGACGACACTGTATTTGGTGAATTAGCCGTTTAGCATTTAATCAAATTAAATTTAGAATTTCTGTTTAACAAACAAAAGTAGATTATGAGCAATTGTTAAATGTAGGTATTATTTGAAGCTGGCCACAATTTAGAGCACAATTTGTCACATTGAGGAAAAAGAAAACGGACATAGGACAATAAACCTAATTGACTTTGCCCACCAGTCATGGAAAACTATGCCAACGAATGACAAAGAAACCTTCATGTCTCTTTTCACTGTTACTGCATATAAATGGATATATTCTAGAGATAAGGCACACACTTTTCTTGTATTTAGAGAATTCTAAACTGTTGAAATAAAGCAAATATATTTCTATGCGATACATTTCCCTTGTAATTTCATCAAGCAGGTATAGAATCATAAGTTTAGCTATAGCATATATTGTATAAAGGTCACCTGTCAGAAGACAAGTAAGGTGGCGCCGGCAATGCCGACCTGTTCATAAAAAGGTGCAAGTCAGGAAAAACAAGTCCAATATGTGTTTTTGGCCAGGAGTTCAGCTTAAAATAATAAACATTAAAAGTACCATTCTTTGGCTCCACTTCATCTTCAAATGTAACAGAACTTTTCCTTCTCGAATAGAGAAGACGTGGGTGCTGAGCACTATCAGAGCTGTGGTCATCAAGCAGCATTACATCAGTACCTAGAGAACAGGGAAACACAAACAATATAACTCAAATTTTCTTTAAACCCAATGGATGGAGCATCTTATTGAAGACTGACGGCAGTGGTATTGTGATTGGAGATTATTCCACAATGACTGACACTGAACACCAAATTTCAGCTTACATTTTATATGAAGAAAACCAAAGAGCAGCACATGCTCCAGGGTAGAACAGCATGGCTCAGGTAGTGTAATAGCAGGTGTCCATAGGGAGCTTCTCCCACTGCCGGACTGGAGGGCAACGTAATCCACTTTTTCAGTTACAAAAAAGTAAAATTATGATAAACGTACAAAAGTAGAATTTTATGTATATACGGTCTATAAAAAACAGGAGAAAAAAAAAATGTACAAACTAGCTAAACTAGCTGGCTTTAGGGGCTCATTCACACCAGTAGCCATGTTATACCAATGTCACCAATGGAAGGAGAGGTGCTCATTTGCTGTAATGACACATCACACAGTTTACTTTTTTTTTTTTTTTACTTTACTGAAATGTCACTAAATGAAGGTTTTACATCTTTATTCACTGGATGAGTGTTGCGATGTGGTGTAATACTGTGCATTGCAACAAGCTCCTCTGAAAGAGAAAAAGCACATCCTACTGGGTTTTATTTTTAGCACACACTACAGCACAACTGTGTGAAATGATAGGACTCAAGGCCAACTGCTTAGTCTTTGCAATATGCAAAGCTGCCCATCACAGCACAACGGGCTGGTGTGAATGAGCCCCGAAAGGCATCTGCAGTTTTATTTTTAGAAGTCTGCAACAACTAAATGGCAACAGAAAGGCAGGTGATGAAAAGACAATTTGGTAAAACAAAACTTAAAATAAGTTAAACATACACTTTAAAAAAACTACAAGTCTGCCTCCCATGTCCACACTAAGATCCAAAAGAATCTCAGAGAAAAACTCTGATAAAACAATTAGCATGTTGTAGTTTAAGGGGTAGGTAGGTACCGACACAACATTTAGAAAAAGGGGGGTTTACCCAGAGTACCAAACCCAAAATTAGTAGACCCCTTGCATTGGGTATGTTAGTTATTCAATAACTTTCAAGAGGAACAACCCCCAGCTGCTTAAACTAGACACAAAACAGAAATATGAGATGACCGGGTGAGGATCAACTCAAAGTACAGCTATTAAAGAGGGTCTGAGAGTCAGAATATGGTACAAAATTGTATACATTATTTAAAATCTCATTGGACATGCTGAACGCACCAGTTAAACCAACACCCGTTGCTAATCTAAAAATGGTTATTGCAACAACCGGCTCACTCCCATCACACAAACATGCACACTTAGGACGGGCTGATCAGCATAATTGATAATACCGAATAGGACTCAAAATCATTGAGAAAACAGCGCTTTAAACAGTAATTGTAAACAGAGTATGATTCAAAGGATTAGCTCTTTAGCCTTGGGTCCTTATTCTATTATTTAGATCCTTCCTAGGATTCTGAAGGGATTATGATCACTGATGATGTAACTCGTGATGTAGCCAATCATCAGTTACATTTATATCCTTTGCTCTTGATTAGAGCGGACAGAACATGAGGTGTATAGCTTGATTGGAGATTCCCAAGATTGGGAAGTCCCAAGTACTTGGAGGGTCTCCTGAACATGTAGAGTAGTGTTGAATGGTCCCAGAAGGCTTTGGTTTTATCAGTGATGTTATCCCAGAATCGTGCTGTCTTGTAGTCCAAAATCGGGAAGTCTAGTACCTGACATGCAGGAGGTTAGTCAGCTTGGCGTCCACTAACAAACGATTCTGGGATAACATCACTGATAAAACCAAAGCCTTCTGGGACCATTCAACACTACTCTACATGTTCAGGAGACCCTCCAAGTACTTGGGACTTCCCAATAAAGAGGATTAACAAAGATCACAGAGGACTATTCGAAGCAACCAACCTTTGGGACACTTCATACTCTCTGAGAAGCACTACCTGGTAAAAGCAATCCAGCACCCGTGAGTACCTTATATCTGTGACTTTACACACTGTTTGGTCGAACCTTTTCCTCCATGTGTGATAACCACTCCGGGTGAAATCACCATTCAGGATTTACCGGGTCAATACTTGAGTCTCTAAGACTAATCTCCAATCAAGCTATACACCTCATGTTCTGTCCGCTCTAATCAAGAGCAAAGGATATAAATGTAACTGATGATTGGCTACATCACGAGTTACATCATCAGTGATCATAATCCCTTCAGAATCCTAGGAAGGATCTAAATAATAGAATAAGGACCCAAGGCTAAAGAGCTAATCCTTTGAATCATACTCTGTTTACAATTACTGTTTAAAGCGCTGTTTTCTCAATGATTTTGAGTCCTATTCGGTATTATCAATTATGCTGATCAGCCCGTCCTAAGTGTGCATGTTTGTGTGATGGGAGTGAGCCGGTTGTTGCAATAACCATTTTTAGATTAGCAACGGGTGTTGGTTTAACTGGTGCGTTCAGCATGTCCAATGAGATTTTAAATAATAAATGTATACAATTTTGTACCATATTCTGACTCTCCGACCGACACAACATTTCCAGTCTTAAGGCCATACACCAGCAGAATTTAGTTTTCAGAACATTTGTTCGATTTCCTAATAGTTTTTGGAGTCAAAATCAGCAATCATTTTCATCTGCAGTGACAAAAAAAAATACTTTAAAAGGAGCACAATGAAAATGTGTTTCTAGAGCAAATGGTAGAAGACAAGAATCACCAGCCCTCAGTAATATCATTCAATATGTCCATTTATTTGGACAAATCGTCACAATGAAAGAAGCCAACGTTTCGGGCCACACAGGGTCCCTTCATCAGGGCGAGATGAAGGGACCTTGTGTGGCCCCGAAACGTTGGCTTCTTTCATTGTGACGATTTGTCCAAATAAATGGACATATTGAATGATATTACTGAAGGCTGGCGATTCTTGTCTTCTACCTTGTGTCTGCACGGCGCCATCCGTGGTCATCACTGCGAGCACCATTATTGTACAGGCCGGGAGCGTTGTGAGGAGTGCGGAGGGACATTTTATCTATCCATTTCTAGAACAAATGAAATTCTAACAGTGAATGTGGTTTTTGTCTGGAAAACCCAATTCATTTCAGATTCTCATGTTAAAGTAACATTAATTCAGGAATCTTAAATCTTCAGGAAAGTTAAAATCTTAAAAATGCATTCAAATACCTTAATGATTAACAATATTGTAACTTATTTGTGCAACACTCAGCTGTAAAGCCCCAAATCATCTCTGAATTTATACTAATGCTGTCCTTCCTTCTAGAGCAGGGGTAGCCAAACTCCGGCCCTCCAGCTGTGGAACTACAAATCCCATGAGGCTTTGCAAGATTTTCAGACATGACTCCCGGAGAGAGATGCATCATGGGATTTGTAGTTTCACAACAGCTGGTGAAACACAGCCTGCTATTGCAGTTTGAAATGGCAAATAGCAGGCCGGCTGTTGCACCCACCCATTACCTGCTGTGTATACATTTAGCTGCCGTCTGTGAAATGTTAACACTGGCAGCTGTCATTCCCTGCCTGAAGCTATTCAAATGCCATGGAGGAAGAAGGAGAAGGAGAAGAAGACGGAGGAAAAAAAAAAAAGGTCAGTTTCGGCCTGACAAATTCTGCTGCGGGAAGTGTCTTGCAGTGCCATTCATTTCAATGGGCCCCAGACAAGCCTGTCACCCACAGAGTGATCGCCCGTGCCGGAACGCACGGTAGGTACCACAATGCCGTGCATTCCTGGGCAATGCGATTGCAAAAAATTGTGCATGCAGTTTTATTCTGAAGTAAAGAATATGGGTTGGACTTGATGAACTTATGTCTTTATTCAACCCCAAATACTATGTAAATTTTATGTTTGTAACACTGCATTTGTGTAGATTTTAAAATTAGGATGGTATTTCATTTTTTTTTTTTTATCTGATCGAAAAAATAAAAAAAATCGGCCAACTATTCGATTATGAAAACGTTGTATGAACGTTCATATGAAAATCTACCAGTGTATGGGCAGCTTTAGTCTTTCTTTAATAAGGGAAATTCTAACATTTGATCTTTAAAGCTTGAAAGCCGCTTTTAATACTTATATGGCACAGCTTCCAATCAAAAGCAAAGCCTCCCGACAAGCATTTAGCATTCAACCTTCATTTCCTGAGGAATGACAGGTATTTGTTATATAACTCTTCATTTACAAAGACATTTTGTTATGGCTGGAGTAAGTACACATTGTACATTCTTTGAATCAACTGGTCTACTGAAATTCATGACAACTTGAGAAAGTACCTTTATCCAAAGCATTTTAGGAGGACATCAATTAAAAGGTCCTATATACTAGGGATGCACCGACACAAGCATCGGTATCAGCGGCGATACAGAGTATTTGCATGAGTACTCGTACAAATACTCCGCCGCACACAGGAACTCCATCGCATCTTCAATGAAACAAGATGGCCCCAAACTCCTCCTCCAAGTCCTCAGTCATCTGCTCCATTCTGATCTCTTCTCCCGCTGATAGCACTCCTGACTGGTGCGGAAGCCTGCCAATCATCCAATCGGCCAATCAGCGGGAGAAGAGGTCAGAATGGAGTAGGGCTGCAACATCTAATCGACATAATCGATTATAATCGATTATGTCGATTAGATGTTGCAGCCCTACTCCATTCTGACCTCTTCTCCCGCTGATAGCACTCCTGACTGGTGCGGAAGCCTGCCAATCATCCAATCGGCCAATCAGCGGGAGAAGAGGTCAGAATGGAGTAGGGCTGCAACATCTAATCGACATAATCGATTATAATCGATTATGTCGATTAGATGTTGCAGCCCTACTCCATTCTGACCTCTTCTCCCGCTGATAGCACTCCTGACTGGTGCGGAAGCCTGCCAATCATCCAATCGGCCAATCAGCGGGAGAAGAGGTCAGAATGGAGTAGGGCTGCAACATCTAATCGACATAATCGATTATAATCGATTATGTCGATTAGATGTTGCAGCCCTACTCCATTCTGACCTCTTCTCCCGCTGATAGCACTCCTGACTGGTGCGGAAGCCTGCCAATCATCCAATCGGCCAATCAGCGGGAGAAGAGGTCAGAATGGAGTAGGGCTGCAACATCTAATCGACATAATCGATTATAATCGATTATGTCGATTAGATGTTGCAGCCCTACTCCATTCTGACCTCTTCTCCCGCTGATAGCACTCCTGACTGGTGCGGAAGCCTGCCAATCATCCAATCGGCCAATCAGCGGGAGAAGAGGTCAGAATGGAGTAGGGCTGCAACATCTAATCGACATAATCGATTATAATCGATTATGTCGATTAGATGTTGCAGCCCTACTCCATTCTGACCTCTTCTCCCGCTGATTGGCCGATTGGATGATTGGCAGGCTTCCGCACCAGTCAGGAGTGCTATCAGCGGGAGAAGAGATCAGAATGGAGCAGATGACTAGGCTGTGACACGGAGTGGCTGAAGCAGACGGAGAAGACGACACAGCAGGTTAGTACTGCAGCACTGCATGGGAGCTGGGCACAAAAATGTTGTTTAACTACATATAATATTTAAAAATAATAAAGAAATAACTATGTAGATATTGCTAACTTAGGCTTGTATCCCCCTAGTGGGGAAAATAGATGAGCACATGTCCAAACTCCAGACCAGAACATTGTGGGGAAAAATACAATGGCATGATAAATATTCATGTTCATGTTCTTCATAATATTAAGAAACTGACCTAAAATCATGATTTTGTATTGCTTTAGAAAAAATGTGACCTGTCCCTTTAAGAAAAAATATCGGTAATTGGTATCGGTGAGTACTTGACAAAAAGTATTGTTACTCGGTTTTAAAAAAGTGGTATCGGTGCATCCCTACTATATACCTTATCACAAATAACGCTGGGCAGTCAATTTACAAATGGAAAAATCGGGCATGAGTGAGACAGTTGCCCAGAGCAACATTTTAGGTTTAATTGTTCCGTCAACAACAGTTAGGCGAGCATGGTAAAGCATTGTGTATTTAAGATTCAATTCTCATAGTCGTCTCTTAGCTTAGTAAACTTTACTCTTTGCTTATGAATCTCCGTTGAGAAGTCAGTATACACAGAGATAGTGACGTTTTGGAAAAGGGATATTGTCATATTTATTTGCGAGGGCAGAACAGCATCCCTGTCCATGTAATGGAGAAATTTTGGAATGAAAGTTCAAGAAGCTCCTGGTGGAGGGGAATCTAGGAGGCAAGTGATGAGCACACTCTACCGCAAACAAGGAGGAGAATTCATGTCTGCCATAAGTGGATATTAGCAGCGTTTGCAGAAATGAGGTGGAGTCAGACCCTTCTGCCTATACTGGAAGGCAGACAAATCATGAATTGCAATGACGTAGGCGATTCTCCATGTCATCAAGTCTTTGCAGGAGTAATAATTCAGACTGGCGCTGCCTAGAGGCCTGTTGTAAAGGCGGCATCTGATACCACACTCTCCTCAGCCTCAGACACAATTTCTCTGAGGTTCTGAAGGTCTTGTCCGATAAGCAAAATATCAAGTTTGACCTCATCTATCTTAGTAGTGAGAGTACTTTGACATTGGGATATGGCCTAGAATACCTTAGCAGGATCCGGCTATTCTTCCTTCGACGCTGCCATCTTTGTCTGTGCAGCGGAATTTGTCGAGCTTCTTAAAAATAGAACTATGAGGTGAGTGATTTACACTCATCCTCATAGTTCGAGCCGACGTGCGACAATGAAGCTGTCACACGTCAACTCTATAGATCAGATAGTGAGCGAACACATACAGTCGCTCACTCACTTCTCGATCATGTCCCTGCAGAGAGAGTAGTGACTGCCAGTCACGGCTCCCCGCAGGGATTCCCCCCCTCCCCGTTCCTCCAGTGCTGACTGGAGGAACGGACGGGGGAGGGGTGGGTACAGCTGGCTCTGCCTCTAGATAGGCAGAGCCAGCTGTCATTCACGCAGCTGGGTGCATCTCAACAGCATTGTCAGGATCTGTCCCGGCTGCGGCAGTCTCAGTATACTGCAAGCTGTAGCTCGCGATATACTGAGCTTTGGGTCACGGAAGGACGCTAGTATATGTCCTCCTGTGACCCTTAAGAGAACTATGGGGAAAAATACTTACCCCATAGTTCTCTCTTAATCATCCCAGAGTGCCTTTTTGTCGGCGACATAGCAGCAGGAGAAGTAACCGGGGTAAGGAGAACATCAGTGGTTTAAAAAAAAGGTGTCCGTGGAGCAGGAAGCCAACTAGGATAACGATCAGGATTTTCGTTGAGCAGAGCACTCACAAAGCACGTCTCACTGCATGCCGCTCCAGGCCACGCCCCTCAGGTTTTATGGTTAAACAATATTAGGAATATGACTCCTTGCTTTCAGTAATCCGATCCACTTTTCTCTGTAACAGTCTACCTAAATTAGCCTCCAAGCCCGACACAACATAAATCTGACATTAAAAAGCAAGTTGTTTTTCTGAAACACTTCAGTTGCTCTCTAAAAATCTGCCTGAGGCACAACAAGTGAGCTGAGCGGAGTTCAGAGTGCAAAGAAAGATGGCCCAATACTGAAGGATCTGCAGAGTTCAGCAAGTTTATTAGTATAAGCTACTAAATCATATTTATCGGTAAAGTGCCTGGACGCGTTTCACAGTAAGGTGCTGATTAATAAGTGTTATTATGAGCACGATAAAGCACATATAAGCACCTTGACACATTTGGCATGAATGCTGAATATAGTATATTAATAATCTTGATGGATTTCAGAGATCTTTCAACATTGGACAGTTTTTCTTTGTGGTCTGCATTTGCTGCGTTGGGGCAGGCTGGGGTCCAAGAGGGTGCCGGAATATAGTGTTGCGTTCCCCATGCAAAAACAGGTTTTTAAATTGAGGCTGACTGGATTTGTATTCAAAAGAATAAAAACTCTTACAATGTTAACATCATTTCCCCTATAATACACTAAATCAGTGCAACATTTTTTCTATGCTTTGTTTTACTGTACTTTCTGCAGAGAATTATTCTATAATGTTACTTTTTATAATATGTAGCTTACAAAAGATAGTATCTTACCAGAATCGTTTGAATAGCTGACACCGGTATTTGTTGTAGTGCTCTGGTGATCCGAGTCCTTCCCACTGGCCATCAGCGCAGTCAGATGTGGGGATAACCCAAGATCTACAAAATAAAATTGTAACATTAATGGAAACCAAAACAATCACACACAACATTCATAAATGTGGCATTTAAAGGCGGATTCCAATCTACTGACTTGGATTCCTCCAAGTGGTAACACCAACAAGCCTCCATTATGAAGACTAGTTATAACAGTTCTATGAGAGATGTGCTATTGTCTATAAGACTGTGCCACAATATCAGTTTTCATTAGCAAATAAGTCCTGAGAAAACCCTGGTGGTGTGGTAAAAAAGGGCAAAAACAATTAGAGAGCTCCTCCTGTAAGTGAAAATCCCACTGGACACTTCAGTGGCTTCACAACAGTCAAAACTGCATCGTACATGCTGCCTTCATTAAAAACCTGTTAGAACTTATATTTTAATACAATCAAATGACAAATCCAATGTCTAACACAATGTATGCATTAGTGCCAATAGTACCAATATTATGGCAGGTAGGTTTGCATCGATACCGATGCTAGTATTGGTATGGTGTAGATACCGAGTATTTGGGAGAGTACTCTTACTACCGGAACTTCCGCTCAGAGGGAGATTAACTCTGACCAGTAGTGCTGCAACGGAACATGGAGCCGGCTTCCCGACCAATCTTGAAGTCTGGTAACAGGTAATGACTTGCCGCCTGGCTTCCTGATTGGCCAAGATGACTCCATGCTGTTTGGCCGACTCACTGCTGATTGGCTGGGAAGCCGGCTCAGCGCCGATTGGCTGGGAAGTCAGCTTCTTGGCCAATCAGCATGGAGCTGGCTTCCCGGCCAATCAGGAAGCTGGGTGTTTTTGGTAATGACACGCCGCCCGGCTTCTTGATTACCCAGGAAGTCGGTTCCATGCTAGCGGAAGTACTGGTATCGGCAAGTACCGAAAGATAAATACCGGTACTCATAGTCGATACTGAAAAACCAATATCGGTGCATCCCTAAATGGCAGGAATTCCACAGAGAATGACTCAAAGCACGTCAAGGCAAAACATAAAAAAATGTGCAATACATATCTGCAATACAGCATATTTCCCATGTCATATACCTTAAAGTACATAGTACATATAGAAAACGACTTGGCCAGCCACTCTCCCCACTATACTTACCTTTCCAGGAACGGCCATTCCCCTCAGCCAGTACAAGTGTACTATCCGTGCTGACCCATAGCACAACCCTGCGCACCAGATTTAAAATTTTGCACGCAAATTTTGAGCACTAATTGAGAAGCGCTTCTCAATGGTCAGCGCTATCAGGTGACCACGTTGACCAATGAGTGCTCGCAATCTGCAAGCGAAATTCAAAATCCACAGTGCAGTGCTGAGGTGCCAGATTTGAGCGGGCAATTCCAATTTTCCATTCCTTTAGGAAAGTGAACTTACCCTTTATACAGACCAAAATAGTGTGAAGGGTTAGGGTTTACATACACTTTAAAGCCTATCTCCATTAAGAGAAATGTAGTGGGGGGTGCCCCGGATTTTAAGGGTTAACTGCCCGTTTAGGTCTATGGGTTGGAGTAAAGCACTTTTACTGACTCGATACTCGCAGGCTCCAAGACTGGCCCCACTCCTGCGGTCAGAGACCCATTAACTTCATCACGTATGATGCAGGGCTCAGAGCACTGTGTTATACATGGGATTGCTGAGGGACAGTCCAGGAGCTAGAGCGGAGGGAAGGAGGTGAGCGCCAACTGCTGTGAAAGCTGGGATCAAGTTCACTTCACAATGCCCTAGCAATAAACAAGCAGTTAACCCTTGCAATGTGGGGGTAGCCTTTCTTAAAAGAGTAGTTTCTTTCCCAGAGATAGGCTTTAATAAAATGTATAAAGATACATTACAA